GACTCATAGCCTCGGAGAAGAAAATAAAGAGTAGTCAGAGAAGACTTTGTGGATCTTCACTGAACACTTTGATACTTTCTTCTCCTACCACCCCAATTCTTTTGGTATGTGTATCTAACTTTAGATTCATCTAAAGATATATTTAACTTTATATATATATATATATATATATATATATATATATATATATAACTGAAAACTCACACCCCAGAAGTGACTCGAACCCATACTCCCACAACGGGTATGTACAGGGACGCCTTAATCCGCTGACCATCACGACCGGACATAAGGAAGTGATAGCCGAGGCTATATGAACCACTTCCCCGCCGGCACTCGGATGGTAATCTTGGGCATAGCATTTTATCAAATCACCTCATTCTTTGGGGCACACGTGAGGAACACAAATGCAAACAAGCCTGAATGGTCCCCAGGACTATATACAACTGAAAACTCACACCCCAGAAGTGACTCGAACCCATACTCCCACAACTGGTATGTACAGGGACGCCTTAATCCGCTTGACCATCACGACCGGACATAAGGAAGTGATAGCCGAGGCTATATGAACCACTTCCCGCCGGCACTCGGATGGTAATCTTGGGCATAGCATTTTATCAAATCACCTCATTCTTTGGGGCACACGTGAGGAACACAAATGCAAACAAGCCTGAATGGTCCCCAGGACTATATACAACTGAAAACTCACACCCCAGAAGTGACTCGAACCCATACTCCCACAACTGGTATGTACAGGGACGCCTTAATCCGCTTGACCATCACGACCGGACATAAGGAAGTGATAGCCGAGGCTATATGAACCACTTCCCCGCCGGCACTCGGATGGTAATCTTGGGCATAGCATTTTATCAAATCACCTCATTCTTTGGGGCACACGTGAGGAACACATTTGTGTTCCTCACGTGTGCCCCAAAGAATGAGGTGATTTGATAAAATGCTATGCCCAAGATTACCATCCGAGTGCCGGCGGGGAAGTGGGTCATATAGCCTCGGCTATCACTTCCTTATGTCCGGTCGTGATGGTCAAGCGGATTAAGGCGTCCCTGTACATACCAGTTGTGGGAGTATGGGTTCGAGTCACTTCTGGGGTGTGAGTTTTCAGTTGTATATAGTCCTGGGGACCATTCAGGCTTGTTTGCATTTGTGTTCCTCACGTGTGCCCCAAAGAATGAGGTGATATGATAAAATGCTATGCCCAAGATTACCATCCGAGTGCCGGCGGGGAAGTGGTTCATATAGCCTCGGCTATCACTTCCTTATGTCCGGTCGTGATGGTCAAGTGGATTAAGGCGTCCCTGTACATACCAGTTGTGGGAGTATGGGTTCGAGTCACTTCTGGGGTGTGAGTTTTCAGTTGTATATAGTCCTGGGGACCATTCAGGCTTGTTTGCATATATATATATATATATATATATATATATATATATATATATATTATATATATATATATATATATTTTTTATATATATATATATATATATATATATATATATATATATGGGGGGCTGGCGGATGAGGAACACACGCACTCTACACACGCACTCTACACACGTACTCTACACACGCACTCTACACACGCACTCTTCACACGCACTCTACATCGCAGCTCTGTAAGTCTTCACCCACCCCTAAATATACAAATAATCGCCAACAGAACCTAAACATCTAACCTATGCCTAACTCTTCATAGAACTTTCATGTATAAAATTAATGCATGTATAACAAACTTATTTTTAATACACAATACGTAAAACAAATTGATGAATGAATCTTGTGGGGGACGCGGCCGCCGCTTTAACGAGCCTGGCCAGAGTGCTGGTTCTGCATACACAGATGTTCGTTTAAGAAGAGGGTGGTTTGGCGGCTGAATTAACGAGCGTTTGGCCCGTTTGGGATCGGACGCTGCTTGAACGAACCTAGCCTGAGAACGGATTACAGCTCGGACAAGCATTGTCTGAGGTCCGATGGCCAATATCTTATATCATCCCATTCAAACCATTAGCTCCCAGCAAATTATGTTCTTGTCTTCATATTTGCTTTGAGACGATTCCCAGATATCTTTTGGGGGTGTCAGCCATTAACTTCCTCGCAAGCGATGCCTAAGATTGATGAAGATTAAGCCACCCGAGAGGTGGCACGGGCATGAATAGCCCGTAAGATGCAAGAGGTGGCACGGACATGAATAGCCCGTAAGATGCAAGAGGTAGCACAGGCCTGAATAGCCCGTAAGATGCAAGAGGTGGCACGGGCATGAATAGCCCGTAAGATGCAAGAGGTGGCACGGACATGAAAAGCCCGTAAGATGCCTAAGTTGTTGTTTCAGATTTAGCTACTCAGAACGAAGTTTCCATGTAGCACGGGCTATAGGATGCCTAAGTTTCGCTGAACGTTTATGTATTAGTATATGTATATACGTATATGTATATAAGTATATGTATTAGTATATGTATATATATGTATATACGTTTATGTATAACAGTCGTATCATCGTGGTGGATTACGGGCTATTCATGCCCGTGCCATCTATAGGTTGGCTTAATTGTTATCAATCATCAATCGTGGTGGGGAGGTCCCGCCTCCTTTCGGGGAGCCGGTGGCTGAGCGGACAGAACACTGGACGCGTGATCCTGTGGTCCCGGGTTCGATCCCAGGCGATGGCGAGAAACAATGGGCAGAGTTTCTTTTCCCCTGATACACCTGTTACCGAGCAGTAAATAGATACCTGGGAGTTAGTCAGCTGTCACGGGGTGCTTCCTGGGGGTGAAGGCCTGGTCGAGGACCGGGCCGCGGGGACACTAAGCCCCGAAATCATCTCAAGATAACCAAGAACCACCCTGGTACCCCTGTTACCGAACAGTAAATAGGTACTTGGGAGTTAGTCAGCTGTCACGGGGTTCTTCCTGGGGGTGAAGGCCTAGTCGAAGACCGGGCCGCGGGGACACTAAAGCCCCGAAATCATCTCAAGATAACCTCAAGATAACCTCCTCCGGACTCTTTGGGGGTTGGACTTCCAGCCTTCGAGTGCAAAGTGAAACACTCTGGGTGAGCGTCGTACGAGTGAATAATGAAGGAGTCATTAATACTCAACCTCAAGATGAATTACTGTAACGTGTGTGCAGTATTAATTAATTGTGGCATTACAGGAGACTAAATTAAGCAACTGTCTTGCTGGCTGCCTCAAGGCAAGATGTTCCAGCAGCCAGAATGGGGCCAAGTGGATGGGTATAGTTGTATCACCGAGTTCTCATATTCCATCTCTTTGTCCTTATATTCCATCTCTGTGTCCTCATATTCCATCTCTTTGTCCTTATATTCCATCTCTTTGTCCTTATATTCCATCTCTTTGTCATTATATTCCATCTCTGTGTCCTCATATTCCGTCTCTTTGTCCTCATATTCCATCTCTTTGTCCTTATATTCCATCTCTTCATCCTCATATTTCATCTCGTTGTCCTCATATTCCATCTCTGTGTCCTCATATTCCATCTCTTTGTCCTCATATTCCATCTCTTTGTCCTTATATTTCATCTCTTTGTCCTCATATTCCATCTCTGTGTCCTCATATTCTCGTTCTCATGTCCCAGTTCCTTGTTTTCATATCCTCATATTCTTTCCAAGTACTATATAGTTATGTTGGCTTCTTGCAGATAGGCGTTTGATCCCCCAATGATCGAAGTGGTTGGGCACTGTTCCTTCACTACATCCTCACGTGTTAAGTAGTTACACTGGCTTAATGTTTTCTCCTCATAATTACCTTTCTTGGTTACCTACGGCTTGCTTTAGCTCAATTGTATAACCTCATACATCTCTACGAATACAGCTGTATCTTCAACATCGTAACCTTAAACTGTCAACCACACTTCTGTTGAAATAAACATTTTATTCACCTGAATGGAATTATTAAGACTACTCATAACTGAGTGGATAGAGTTTCTACCTCACACACGTGGAGTTCACAGTTCGAGTCTCCTAGAAGCCAGGTGAATGGTATCGTAACCTTGTTTTACAAACATGACCTAAAAATTCTTGATCATATATTTGTCTTTAGGAATCACAAACAATTGTCACTAAAATTTAGAAACATGTTCATAGATCGATTAACTTAAAAAGTGATATTCATTTTATGTTTTTAATTTACCTATTGTCTGTATCGAGTTACATATTTATATTTTATTCTCGCAGTCTGGCTTCACTGATGAAAGTTTGATCACCGAGTCTGTTACTACCTGCACCCCCGCAGGCCCGCCTATCCAGCACTAAGCAAGTATCCAAGCACTTACTCCTAGAACTTTAAACTTTTCTCTTATAGTTTTGGAATACAGGTTGAAATCTTGATCATATATTTGTTCTAAAAATTAGAGTCGAGATCCTGTAATGTTGGAAATGTTCTCTGTGTTCATAGCATCACCTACACCTCACTAGGTAATTTTAGCAGTGTTCTCTGTGTTCATAGCATCAGCTAAACCTCACTAGCTGTGTTCAGCACTTTCTATATTGTCTCTCATATCAATAAGTTTTATTTTATTGTGTAAATTTGGAGCATAACTTTCGATAATTCTTATCTCCGTCTCAATTGTAGAGATAACGAGAGAGAGATCTCTCTCTCTCTCTTGCCTCTTCTTTAGCTATATCAACCAGTGCCGAATAACTATAGGAAAACACAATATATATCTTTGTTTTGAAAGGCACTCGAGTATACTTTAAATCTCACTGTGAGTTTTCTGCGATTCAAAATCACAAATGAACATCTTTCACTCTTGCCTCTCTCCTAAATCACCTATATACTCCCCTTAACCCCCAACACCCACCACCCCTCGCGAAGGAAGAATGAATGAAGCCGGACTAGGGTAGAGAGAGAGAGAGAGAGAGAGAGAGAGAGAGAGAGAGAGAGAGAGAGAGAGAGAGAGAGAGAGAGAGAGAGAGAGAGAGAGAGAGAGAGAGAGAGAGAGAGAGAAGGGAGCCAGAGGGTCATCAGCACACACTTACACAGCCATAGAGAAGGTTGTACTGGTGGCAGAGAAAGCCATGACCAGGGACAAAGTGACCTGAGTGTACATGACACGGAGGTAAGTGACCCTCTGGGGCTCTGTATGGCCACGTATTCTGCAGGAGGAGGAGAAGACGGTCAGAGGTTCTCCAACGACACAAAAGTCATTTATCATTGTTAGAAAACCTCCTCACAGGTGCTTTTACAACTGAAAATGTATATATATATATATATATATATATATATATATATATATATATATATATACATATATATATATATATATATATATATGTATATATACATATATACATACATATATACATATATACATATATATTTATATATACATATATATATATATATATATATATATGTCGTACCTAGTAGCCAGAACGCCCCTCTCAGCCTATTTTGCAAGGCCTGATTTGCCTAATAAGCCAAGTTTTCATGAATTAATGTTTTTTCGACTACCTAACCTCACCTAACCTAACTTTTTCGGTTACCTAACCTAACCTAACATATAAATATAGGTTAGGTTAGGTTAGGTTAGGTAGGGTTGATTAGGTTCGGTCATATATCTACGTTAATTTTAACTCCAATAAAAAAAAATTGACCTCATACATAGTGAAATGGGTAGCTTTATCAATTCATAAGAAAAAAATTAGAGAAAATATATTAATTCAGGAAAACTTGGCTTATTAGGCAAATCGGGCCTTGCAAAGTAGGCCGAGAAGTGCATTCTGGCTACTAGGTACGACATATATATATATATATATATATATATATATATATATATATATATATATATATATATATATATATATATATATATATATATATATAGTCATTTATTTATATTCATTAAGAAAACAATATATACATATAAACAAAGTTTCGAGAGCAAAAAACAAAACAAAATATACAGATTTATATATATGAAATAAAATGCCGGTGTACGTTCATAAGATTGTGTACACGCATGAATGTACACACATAAGAATGTATGCACATATGAATGTACACATAGAAGAATATATACTTACGTATGAATGTACGCACCAACGAACGCACGCACGCCAGACAAGCGTAACTCAGGGCCATTTAGTCCCATAACATTGCGTAACAGGAGACCTAACGGCACTTCCATGATATAGATCCGAACAGAGATCCCCCTGAACACAAGAGACTCCGAACACAAGACTGACAAAAGACTCCCACACATATACACAAGCCTGACAAGAGACTCCCACACAAGACTGACAAGAGACTCCCACACAAGACTGACAAGAGACTCCCACACAAGACTGACAAGAGACTCCCACACAAGACTGACAAGAGACTCCCACACAAGACTGACAAGAGACTCCCACACAAGACTGACAAGAGACTCCCACACAAGACTGACAAGAGACTCCCACACAAGACTGACAAGAGACTCCCACACAAGACTGACAAGAGACTCCCACAGCAGCCCCCCACCAGCACTCAGCATCCACACAGCACGGCACAACCAGCACTATGAGTAGTAATAAAAAAATACTGACGAAGGTACCTTAGCACTCAATGGCTGATCATGGAAGGGTGGGGGTTAGGGGAGGGGGATGGGATTGGAGGGGAGGGAAGAGGCGATTAAGGGAAGGGGAAGGAAAGGGAAGGAATGGAAGGGAAGTGAATGTAGTGACGACCAAGAGGAGGAAGAGGATGTGGGAAAATAAGGGGCGAACCAGCAGGAAGAGAGGAAAGCTTTAGTCTTGATGGAGGGTGAGAAGAGGAGGTGGCCACGGAGGAGGAGGAGAAGAAGGAGAAGAAGGAAGCGAGGAAGTGGCCAAGGAGGAGGAGGAAGAAGAGTAGACGTGGCTACGAAGGAGGGAAAAAAAGGGAGAGGAAGCCACGTGGGAGAAGAAAGCGATGGCCGAGAATGAGGAAGAGAGGTGGCCAAGGAAGAGGAAAAGGATGAGGGGTGGTAACCAAGGAGGAGGAGGAGGAGGAGAAAGAGAGAAACAAATAGGAGCGATAGTGGTGGAAGATACGAGATTATACAGGAAAAGGATCTTCAGTGGAATAGGAGGGGCGCAGGGAGCATATAAGGGATAGAATCAGGTGGAAAGGAACCAGGAGAGGAGAGAGGGAACGAGAAAACCGCCCCTTCAAGAGCGAGAGATGGAGATGAGGGCAAAGTGCTCAACGATGTACGAGAAAGATGGGACAGAGGAGTAACAGAGAGGGGAATGAAGGGACAAAGTGCCGAGGAGGAGGAGGAGAAGAAATGGAGCACAGTGAGAAAGGAACACGGCCTAGCAAGGAAAACCAATAAATGGATAAAGAAGGGAGACATTCGACAATATAAATGATAGTAACAATGAGCCCAATCACTCCTATGAGTTCTGCATCCCACGCTCCCAGCGTCCCCAGCCAGGCCTGTGAGCTCAGCTATCCACGCTCCCAGCATCCCCAGCCAGGCCTGTGAGCTCAGCTATCCACGCTCCCAGCGTCCCCAGCCAGGCCTGTGAGCTCAGCTATCCACGCTCCCAGCGTCCCCAGCAAGGCCCGTGAGCTCAGCATCCCCAGCCAGGCCTGTGAGCTCAGCTATCCACGCTCCCAGCATCCCCCAGCCAGGCCTGTGAGCTGAGCTATCCACGCTCCCAGCATCCCCAGCCAGGCCTGTGAGCTGAGCTATCCACGCTCCCAGCAACACAACTCCTGCGGTCCTATTAATAATGGCGGGGCTACGAACCCGGGTACACAGGAGCCAGCGTTTAACATTTTACACCCAACTATCATTTTATCTTGCGTTTTTCTCCTTGCAGGAAATTGCATCAGGAGGCTGTAACTCCAGTTGAGCAGAGGTGCGCAAAGATCTTAACGACCCAGGAAATGGCTTTCTGATGCAGCTTCTCAGTTTCGTGGGTTTGATTCAAAGACTTTGTCATGTAAATAATGATTGAATATATTTTTATTTACGCCTGCATAAAGCTATCGTGGTTTGGCTCTATGTAACATTCTGTAAAAAAAAAAAAAATCTGGTTCCAGTAAAACGTTTTGGTTACTGTCTGTCTGGCTGGCTGTCTGTTTGTCTGTCTGTCTGTCTGGCTGTCTGTCTGTCTGTCTGTCTGGCTGGCTGGCTGTCTGTTTGTCTGTCTGTCTGTCTGTCTGTCTGTCTCCGGAGCTGGCCATAGGGAATATTGACAACAAAATCAACTACTACTCTACCTTCGTGAATGTTGACAGAATCAGTGAAACGCATCTCTTATCATCTGGCTATATAAAACTGTCAAATTAACTTTGGAACAAAAACGTTTTTCAACTTCCTTCTCAAGTGAAGAACAAAAATGAGATATATAAGGAAGATTCGAAGTTAGAATCATTGATCTCACTCTCTTCTGTAATATTAAATAATACGTGTCTACAAGGAAGACTGCTAAGAAGTCAATGACCTGACCAAGATATCACCCCAACAGCACTCCACCCCTAGTATTTTAGTACTTTGTACAGAAATCCCGATTGAAGGGAGTTCTCCCCCTGGTGAGTATCTCAGTACTGTATGTTGGAAACCATGGTGAAGGGTGAAGGCCCACCTCTTTCCCCTAATATTTCAGTACTGTATGCAGACCAACCCCCCCTTCCCTTCCCTTCCCCAATAAAGGGTGCTCTCCCCCTAGTGTGTATCTCATTGGAAACCCTGGGAATAGTGTGTTACCTAGTTTCTTAGCACTGAGTACAGAAACCTCAGGTGAAATGAGCTATCCTCTTCCCCTAGTGTAACTAAGGAACCCTAATAGGTGTTTAGTTCACTTGCACCCCTAATGTTGGGTACCACCTCATCCCCCTTTTTTCTACCCCTACTCTCCTTACGGCTCCTCTTGCCCCTGTTGGCAAAGGCTCTCCCAAACCACGCCCCGGAGTTATGCGCTCGTAAAATATTTTCTTGAGTTTAATTCACTATACGGCTCCGCATGTTGAGGACATCTGACGATAAGAAATAACATCCGTACGGATGATGCTTATGCTGGCCGCTCAAAATGCTGATATTGGTGGTCGGATCTGCCAGGATTTTCAATCTGATTTGAATTTTTTTTTTTATTATTTTTTATGTAGATATGCTTTAGTATATCTACAAGAGTACGCACGCACACACACACGTTATATGGGGCAAAGGCAAAGTGTTACATGACAAAGAGTGCTGGGTAGACGGGACACCACGACACCTCTCATTCTGTAACTACACTTAGGTAATTACACACACACTCAAAACCTATGCATACAGAAATCACAATAACGTGATACATCAAATGAACAAAGCTACATGGGGGGGGGGGGAATCCGTTTGAGGACAGCAGCACTCCCGGTTGCAATTCTTTTGACCATGTTGTGGCGCAATTGACTAAGGCGCGTGTGGGATCATCCCGGACATAGGTTTGAGCCCTCATCGCGGCCCTTGTGGATTTGTTCACATTCAAAACCTGTTCTGTGCTGTGTGTGTGTGTATGTGTGTGTATGTGTGTGTTTGTGTGTGTGTGTGTGTGTGTGTGTGTGTGTGTGTGTGTGTGTGTGTGTGTGTGTGTGTGTGTGTGTGTGTGTGTGTGTGTGTGTGTGTGTGCCGAGTTAATGCCCCTTAAATTTTCATAATAGGACTATTACCTGACACTTCTATCTTGTCTTAATGGTGGTGTTTTCTAAGGGGGTTTTCATCTTTTTCAAAGGCACTAGACAAGGGGCCATTGACCGTAGTTACACACACACACACACGATTATATATATATATATATATATATATATATATATATATATATATATATATATATATATATATATATATATATATATATATATATATATATATATATATATATATATAACATACATATAGGACAGTGAAGGAAATTGGGGAACACAAAATGGGAAAAAGGTTATCAGGCATAAAGGAATTTTTAGACGAGATGAACAAGGCCTATTAACAATTTGGGATGGTAATGGGGTAATTGGGGCCAAACATTGATGACAATAATGGAATTGGCAACATATAATTGAGATTGAATGGGATTGGTGACGATGTCATTGGATTGGTGGCAGTGATTTGGTGACAGTTGACTGGTGACGGTGGAAGTGGATTGGTGACGGTATCAGTAAATGGGATGGGATGCAGAATGGAAGAAGGAAAAGAGATGGGTGTGAGTGAGGGTGGGGTGGGACGGGGTGGGATGGAGTGGGACGGGGGGGAATGAATCCTTCCGGGATAGTGAAAAATGGAGAGCGTCAGCATTGGCAGAGAAGCCTCGGGATAAATCACCATGCCGTCTCCAGCCTCCTCCTGCCAACTGTATAAGGATTTGGCACTCAGTTCAGCTTGACACTCAGGTCACTCACGTCCGTGTCCTGAGTGGTACTCAGGGCACGGACCATCACGTACCAGAACACAGCCTCTCCGCCTCTCATGTCCTCTTAATAGGTACGAAAGTAGTCGCCAAAACGCGTTTGAAACCCAAATCAAAACCTGTACTAAACACGTCCGAAAAACTAGGCACAAGAATACTGACTCGAACCCGTAAATTAGATTTTAAAAACAAAAGAGACCTCAAAGTTACAAGCAGCTGGCTTCCTGACCCCGTCGAGACCACTGGAGATAATGACCCTCGGGTAAATTCAGGTAAATCACGTGTCTGACGCAACCGAGCAGTGGGAACCACAACACAAAGAACACAAACGAGAAATATCTATATAAGATAAACACAAAATACCTTCAAGAAAACTACCCAAGAAGAAGCGTGTGTGTGTACTTGCCTCGTAGTCGACTACGGAGTCTTCCTGGGCGTAAGATTCCCGGCTCTTCTCCGAGATGGAAGAGAGAGTCTCCCCCACCACGGTGTCGTTGTAAGACGATGGGGCATACATAGTGTTGGTCGTGCTCTTGCTGCTTGCCTGGTCGCTTCCTTCTGTAAACACGACAGAGAAGACAAACTGTCGTTAATTCATATTGTCGTGACATCTTAGCAAACTCAATAAGACAGTAGATCGGAAATTGATATTAAAATGAATGTAAAATATATATAATCAAAATAATATGTATAGCGCTTTATAACAGGATGTTAAAACGCTTAAAAAGAATAAAAATAAACTGCAGAAAAATTATGAATAACAAATTGTGAAATCAGAATGAACTAAAAGATTTTATTAAGTCACACAAGAACGAGAAACAGAGGAAGGATATACACACCCAGAGGGTGTACCCAATTTTTCACTCGGTGTACCCAATTTTTCACTCGGTGTACCCAACTTTCCGGTGTATACTCAAGAGTTTACTTCAGATCTGGACTATGTTCAGGACTAAAGTAGACTTGCTGGGTTGGTCGGTAACTGTTGTGTGGCCTTATTAACCCTTCAGAGCTTGATAGGCCTTAAGACCAACCCAACATTTCCTGGTTACCAGAAAGCTGTTGTGATGGACTTAGTAATCCTCCAGAGCATGGTAGGCCTTAATGGAACTCAGTAGGCCTTAATAGAGCTCGGCAGGCATTAGTAGAGCTCTTTAAGCCATAATAGAGCTCGGTATGCTTTCACAGAGCTCGGTAGGCCTTAAGCCAACCAGACTATAGTGTACTATAGTGTAACTTTATTCTGAGACTCATGTACCTAAAGGTCTCTTGCCATGTTTGACAATATAGTAAAATAATTTATATAGACATACGCAATTGTTCCGAAATTGAGAAATCTTGTTTCAATATAATTCATTTACTTTAAAGATGAGCAGTAATTGGGGTCCTAAACACGTTCAACAGTATGAAAAATAAGCTACATACACAGGCTTTAATGTGGAAGGAAAACACTAAGGATGAGTAAAGGAACAAAGACCTTTAGTATGTTGTTTTCTTTAATGACAGGTGTGTCCTCTTCTTTTAATGACAAGTGTTGAGTGAGAGGTCACGTGAAGTGTGGGTGTTGTGAAGCTCTACTGAGCTCTGTGCACTATATCATCGACGGTTAGTGTTGTTGAGAACGTCTGCATGCAGCAACACTCTACGCAGGCTGTTATGCAGCAAGACTTTATGCAGGATGTGATGCAGCAATGTAATCAACATCCTTGTATCCCTCGCAAGAGCTTGGCCCCTGACGTCGAGATGAAGAAGCCGAGGACTAAAGATATATTGAGTGCCCGGGCAAGCAATTACTGTTTCGGAGGTTACCTCGTTGGAGGCAGCAGGAAGCGCACGATTAGGGGTCATTTTAGGTACCTGAATGAGAGTTAATGGGACCGACATGTGCTGAAGATCACTGCACATGTGTCTGAAGAAAGGTGGGTGACAAAGGGTCATGGCTCATTAAAGAAAGAGAAGAAGGAGGAGGAGGAGGAAGGGAAGGCCATGTGTGTATGCTGGAGGGATCCTACCGTCTTCCCGAATCTTGCCTCTCTTTCTGCGTATAAGGCATATTACAAGAGCAATGTTGAGGATGACAATCATGGCGCCTACAATGGCCACCACTATGATGATCAGCTTGGGCAGGTCACCGCGTCCACCAAGCACTTGGTTCAACAGCAACTCGTGGTCACCTAGAAGAACTTGGCCTGGAAAAGAATAAAAGAAAAACAAAAATGCCCTGTAGTAGAAGACGGTGGCTGGGGGGCATGGAAGAGATGGTTGGGAGGGCGGGGGGCATAACTTACCCTGTGTGGGCGTGAGCGGCAAAGACTTGGGCATGGCAGACGCCGATATGGAAGGCGGAGGCGTCTTCTTGGTCGGCGGGGACGCTCTCTTGTTGCGCCGACGTCGGACAATGCAGACTATGGCAGAGACGTTGAGAGCAAGCAATGCAGTGGCAACGAGAACTATGATGACGACCCAAAGGCCAGGGAGCTTGGAGGCCTCCTTACCCACACTAGGGTTGGGAAAAGGCGTGGGAGGGACCTCGCCTGGTGGAACAGGGAGAGAGAGAGAAGGTGTCACACAAGGGGCATGCATATAGACCTTGCACAGTGTTGGGCTTCCATTCCTTTCCCTTCCCTTCCCTTCCTTTCCCTCTGCCATCAATACTCTTGTCGTGCTTTCGTTTCTGTTGTTATTTTATTGCTAATTAAAACAAATTGTTATTTGTGTGTTCTACATTTCGAAGATGTCGATTAGGAAATGTTATTTTATATTTAATTGTCGGATATTGTAATGTTTTCTTTACGTATACAATTATTCGTTATTCATTTTTTAATCTGAACTAATATTAATATTTTTTAATCTGAACGATATATATATATATTTGTCCTGCATAGGGATAAATATTATATATATATATATATATATATATATATATATATATATATATATATATATATATATATATATATATATATATATATATATAATATTTATCCCTATGCAGGACAGAGTAGTTAGCTCTTGGGCCCCGCCTCCCTGAACGTCAATTATCTAATGTACTGACTCAAGACTAATTTTTCTTGGAGTGTGTGTGTACTCACCTAATTGGGGGTTGTGGGGACTGAGCTTCGGCTCATCCCCCTCTCAACCGTCAATCAACTGTGTGTGTGTTTGGGCGTGAGTGCGTTACTCAAAGTCGACATTTTCCTCTTTAAATATCATCAATATTCACTAATATTATACTGTCCCATAAACATCAGGGCGACTGTTAAAACATCAGATACCGGGATGTTTAACCGGAAGATGGTTTTTGTGTAAACATTACGTCACGTGATGTTCACCTTGCTCGGTAAAATCGGTTTATAAATGGTATGAGATGTCTTAATTCGCAAGTTTGAGATAAGTATTAAAGTTTTGAGGTTTAAGACGATTGTTCTTATAAATCAGAGTTCAGTTGAATCTTGTCTAATAATGAGGTTTGAAACATGTGTTCTAACAATGAAGCAAGAGACGAGTGTTTTTTAATAAGGAGGTTAGAGACGAGAGTGTTCCAATAATTTCGAACACACGAGTAGCTTGAACAAACGGGTAACGTAACGGCTTAACACCTGTTATATAGTGTCCAATTTTGAACAGTGTATCATCCAGATGCTCCTCCTCCTTCTCAACCAGTTTCCGGAGAATAACTCAACCAGTTTCCGGAGAATAACTGTATCACCTCCGGTCTTCGTAAACACCAAACTTGCACCGGAGTTTGCAACCAAGTTAGGGAGATATGCCTCCCCCTTGTCTCACTCGGTATGCGGGACTCCAGAATCATGACTGACTCGACTTTTGTGGTGTGAGTACATCTAGCTGGGGATACGAACACGCGCACTCACACACACACGAAAACAGGTAATTCAAGGCTGCTCTGCGTTTCGAGTCATGACCCAAAACACCAACTGATTTCAGCCCGCCCCGCGCGCCCTCCCATCTCTCTCCCTTCAGCCCAAAATTAAATCAGCTTTGTAATCTTCACCGCCCTCCGCCCCGCTCCTCCTCCCACCCACCACCGCCCACATCTCCATGGGCCGCCCACTTGGGGAGTTTCTCGCACATTTTTTCATCTAAGACCCATGTTTAGTTAGTGTTTATGAGCGGTATTTTCAGGGACTTAAGCGTTGATGAAGGAAGTTGTATTTCGGACCAAGATACGGACTCTTGGAGTGGATATTGGGGGGAGTGGATGGGTGGGTGGGTCGAGGAGTGGATTGGAATGGATTGAGCGTGAATGGGTGGGAATGGAGTGGGGGGGAGAACAAGATTAGAATGAGGATTGGGAGAGAGTGAACGGGTAGGTGAGATGGAAGCATTTGTTGAAAGAGTGTGAGAAGAATGTGGGAGTGGGTTGGTGAGGGTATATATATATACATATATATATATATATATATATATATATATATATATATATATATATATATATATATATATATGTATGTATATATATATATATATATATATATATATATATATATATATATATATATATATATATATATATATATATATATATATTTCCCCCTTCTTACCCATTCTCAATCAACCTGTAGACCCATGCACTCTCTCTATCCATTCCTTTCCCCCATCTTTTCTCAATCCACTCCTCATCCTCCACCAACAACCCCGCCACACCCAACAGGAAGGATCCGACCCGTCAAGGAATACATGCTGACTGAATATTCTTGAGAAAATGCTCGAGTATTTCCGCAAGAAACAAGATTGTCAGCTTTCATTTCTGTGCCACTCCAGACACTTGAGTGTGGCTGAGCCCAAGAGGAAGCTCTCAGGAGTACATCCCTTGGGGGATGCTTTTCCTCCGCCAGCCTCCGAGATTAATCTCACGATACATCATCTCGAAATATGGAGTCCTTAAAGCTACTGCTCTCTTACCTTACCTGCTCAGAGTAATAACACAAATGGATTCATCAAGACTTCTCTTTCGGGATAAGTCTTGAGGATTCAAGACTTATCCTGTAAGTCTTAATGATTCAAGACTTAAGAATCACATCATCTTGAATTAAAAGTTATGATCTCCTGCTTTACATCTATGTATATATATATATATATATATATATATATATATATATATATATATATATATATATATATATATATATATATAGAAGAAGTCAACGACATCATCAAGAGGAGCCTCGCCACAGCCCGCTGCCCGGCACAAAGAGAACCACACTTATCCAGACCTAACGACCCTCAGAAGCGCCCTGATGGGGTCACCTTGCTACCTTGGAAGGATGGTAAGCAAGTGGTATGGGACTACACGTGCGCTGCCACACTGGCCAGTACCTACCTCCACTACAGCACACGTGAAAGCGGTGGTGCTGCTTCTTTCAGGGAATCGCAGAAAATTATTAAATACAGAGGTCTAGCACACTGCTACAGCTTTGTTCCGATCGGCTCGGAGACCCTCGGTTCGTGGGGAAAATGTGCATTGAAGTTCCTGAAGGAATTGGGGGACAAATTGATCAGCGCTACAAAAGACCAGAGAGCAAAAAGTTTCTTGTTCCAGCGCCTCAGTGTTGCGATTCAGAGGGGAAATGCCTGTTGCGTCTTGGGCACTAGTCCAACTTCAGAGGAATTCGAAGAAGTGTTTGACTTGCAACAATGATCGAACCCGTCTGTGACATTCATCAAAGTTTCCCATTGTTGTGTTCTTCAAGAGATCCATAACCTTTAAGCACCTTTTTGCATTATTATTTTTGTATCAACCCATGTATATCTTGTAACCATCAAATGCATAATAAAGCACAAAAAATATTCAAGGAAGGGGGTGGTAGGAGAAAAGCACACAGAAACTGTATTGGAGGGGATCTAAACATTCCCTCTAATGCGTTATGCGTGGTTTCCTCCGAGGCTATGGGTCCCCCTTCTTCCAGCTAGAGGTGGTACTCCCTTCCCTATATACATATATATATATATATATATATATATATATATATATATATATATATATATATATATATATATATATATATATATATATATATGACAATGTCAGACCACGGAGGAAAATGAAACAGGAAATTTCCTTTCCGTGGTCTGACATTGTCACATTCTTAATCATGTGTTTATTTTCGTGATATACACACACATATATATATATATATATATATATATATATATATATATATATATATATATATATATATATATATATATATATATATATATATATATATATATATATACCTTAATGCAATTGCTGACATTATTAATACCAATGTAAATCGTGATGACAATTCTATTATATCACCTATTAATACAAAATGCAGCTCTACTGTATTTCAAATGTAGAACTAAACATGTAGTGGGAATTACAAGCGTATTAGATTCAAATTAAAACGACTTGATCCCACTGTTAGGCTGAATTAATTATTGTGATATATTAATATATATTTTTTCCATTTAGAACCAAATACCAGATTATTACACAAAAGTAGTAAGGATGGGGATTATTTATCGATATACCGGTTCAGTATATAACTAATTGGCGATACCCTGCCTCGCGTTCACCTGCCTGGCGATCTTCTGCCTGGCGTTCACCTGTCTGGCGTTCACCTGTCTGGCGTTCACCTGTCTGGCGTTCACCTGCCTCTGTGCTGGGATTACTAACCGATAGCTCTTGTTAAGTGACACAATAATTCAATGTTTTCCAGATAGAATATATCTCAGAGTGACGGGTATTGACAGGAGCTGGAAGCCTCCAGCGTGAGTGAGGTTTCCTCGTGGAAATGTTCGTAAGGACCTTACTGCGCTAATGATAAGGTCGAACTGCGCCAGTGACAAGGACCTAACTGCGCCAGTGACAAGGACCTTACTGCGCCAGTGACAAGGTCCAACTGCGCCAGTGACAAGGTCGAACTGTACCAGTGACAAGGACCTTACTGCGCCCTTGACAAGGTCAAACTGCGCATGTTCTCGGATTGAACCTATAAGGTCTCCTACTCTTCACAGGGTTTATTGTGCCTATTCTACCATATCTGTCACTATATGTGTATATATTATGTATATTCCATGAATATGGGTTACCTAAAAAGGTCTCTCTCTCTCCTGTTGTGATGGAGGGGGGGGGAGGGGGAAGTGAGTACTCAGCAGTATTCAAGGCAGGAAATGAAACTGATTTGATGGGGGAGCAATG